TTTTTTTTTTGTAATTCTGAGCATTTTGTAGTCTGTGGTGTTTTGGAAAACTGTAAATGACCAAAAGTAATAACGACAAATAAAAATAAAGTCTTTATTATTGTTATTTCTTTTTTTGCATAAAACTTTCCTACTCCAAATTTGCACACATATTTGTTTGTGCACACTGTTTGTAAATCAGGCCCATTGTCATGTTCAAGAAACCAGTTTTAAATTGGTTTAATCTTTAAGGGGCGTTGCTACCAGTGTGGTCTTCTGCTGCTGTTTCAGAGATGCTCTTCTACCTTTATGCTTATTTGAGTTAATGGTGCTTTCCCTTCAACACAAAGCATTATTGACGTTCTCCCCTGGTATCAGCTAGACCTTTTCAGAGAACTACCACTCACTGGATATCTACTCTGTTCCTGGCCGTTCTCTGTAAACCATAGATGGTTGTGTAGGAAAATCTCAGTAGATCACTTAAATTATAAGACAGACCATAAATAAATGCATTAAGTTGTTGCCTGCAAATGTAATTAACATAACATGCATAGATTTTAAGGAGGACGATATGGTACAGAAGTTAAAGACTTTCTGCTTGTGTTTCAGGTGTCGCCCTTCGAAGTGTTTCAAGATGGAGCCTCAGCCACGCTGCCCACGCCACAGACTGAACCGTAAGTCACAAACTGATAGCAGTGGTAGATTTGTGAAAATGGTAGACTAGACTGGTACCTGTCCAGGATGTACACTGTCTCTCGCCTTATGACAGCTGGGTTAGGCTCCTGCCCCCCTCAACCCTGATGAGGATAAGCAAAAGAGAGAAAAAGGATGGAGTGTTTACTAAATGACCTCTTTGTTTTCTCCCAGGGATTCCTGTGGCGCTTCATCAGAACCTGTGGCGCAGACCTGTAATTCGTCAAAAAACTCCAAGGTTCAGGTCTTGTATTACCTTTCACACTAACAGTGCTATTTTGAGTAAAAACTTTAAAAGCGGCCAGTGTGTCTGAGTGACTCCAAGGTCCAGTCTGAAATCCTTCTAAAAACAAGAAGATCAAAAATTGAGTGAAACCTGAAGAAACTGGCAGTAAAGCTTGACAACACATTTGATGTTTCACGCACACTGTCCTATTT